TTTGACAGGGCATTGCATTAGCATCTCGACTAAGTCATTTATGCAGGATGGTCCATGATAAATGCCCCAAAAAGCAATTCTGGATGAAGCTCGTGAAAATAATGATAGTAAGCTAAATATGCTTTAGTAAAATATCACTCACTAGTGAGATACATAGTGTTCTCTTCGAAATTGATTATTTTTCCGTGTGGTTTTCGAATGGTGAATTCCATTTCATTTTATTTTTTAACATAATATGCAATCCTTGATTAAACTTGTGAAGATGATAAGGTTCAGCCAAATATGCCTTAGGAAAATGTCTCTCATTAGTGAAATACAGGGTGTTAAAGTTTAGTTCTCGAAATTATTTCTCTATGGTTGAAACAGTTTTTAGAATATCGTCATCAAAGCATGGATCCGGGGTTGTTCGAGATGGGGAATACGATTTTTTGTAAAATATGTAGAGGACGCTACTCTCTTTGTTTTATGTCATAATTTTCTTGTGTGTTCCATTCCCTTACTTTTTTTTGAAGATGGTAGAGTGATGATGTACTACATTTATTTCGATAGAACACACTCGCCAATAAAAGTTAGTCCCAATTTCAAAATTCGTTTCCTCACAAACCACTTGACTTTGAAAATCAAAAGTCAAAATATAGAATATAAATCAAATTACAAAGGCAGTTATATATCAAAATTTTGTTTCTAATATAATAATTTATTATAAAATTTGTTTCTTCCACGTCTTTGTCCATTTGTCCATCTGTCACCGATGTCAAAATGTGTAAATGTTTTTGATAACAAAATATCCATTTCTAGACATTAAACACATTTAAAAACTTTTGTGTTAATAATCTATTTTTTTATTCTTTATAAAATTTATAAAAAAATTGTTAATGGAAGTTAATAGTAGGTGTCATTTTTGTAGTGGTTGCTGGCATTTCGAAATCTACAACTTGTATTATTTTAAAAATAAAGTGAATCCAAACAACTTCTGTCTTATAGTTTTTTTGACATTTTAGCAGATTCTAAGATAAGGTATCCTATCATCATAAGGTATCATATTATATCATATCATAGGGTATGATATCATCATATTGTACTGGCCACCCGAAACAATGAAATATTTTCCAACAAATATCTCTCGGGTAAAATAAATAATTTGCTTGGGCACATCGTGCCCGGAGATGAGTAATCCTATTTCCTATAAGGGACGAGGAAAGGGTCTAAATTAATCTACACACAATAGATGTTTTAAATATCGGAGGGCTCAAGCCTAACAAAGCTTAATCAGCCAGCGAAATTATATTCTGCTATCTCGTCACACGATTATAATGCGTAATAGCAGTGTAGTCCCAATAAAGTTCTGTGTTTTGGTATGTTATTTACCTACCTGCCGACAGCCGACATAGAAAATACGATCTCAGGAAATATATTAAAAATTTTTTTTGAGTCTCTGAGTCATTGATTAAAATGGGGGTTGTATGTTATTTTGAATGCAAATGTAAAAATCTTCAATTCTTAAAATGTGCTGTACTGCATTTTTCCAGCTCTCAACAGGTACATTCTTAATTAAATTTATTACACTCGCACTTAAAATAGGAGTAACATTTTCTCCTCTCACATTTTTTCTTGGTCCCGCAAATGTTATATGGGTTGAATATAAAATCGTATAGACTCCAAACGGGATACCCCATCTATTCAGATAAACTATCGCATTCATATCGTTTTTTAATACTATATGAATTTAACAGTAACTAACCAAAAGTTGCCCTTTCTTGCAACTAGATACAAAATAAATATCATTTTGTAATTATTGAATTTCAGTTTTTGTACTTAGGTTTGGTGCTTTTTGAATAATATGGAATATATATATATATATATATATATATATATATATATATATATATATATATATATATATATATATATATATATATATATATATATATATATATATATATATATATATATATATATATATATATATATATATATATATATATATATATATATATATATATACCAAGTTCAACTTAATCATTTTACCAACTTGTATTACGGTATATGCCAATATGGATTTTATCACAATCTAATAATGTACACATTAAAGAAGGCGGCAGCCTCCCGTCTACTGAACATCTAAAATTAGCGTCTTGAAGCTTAACTTTAATAAACTTTATTAGTTCGATAAAGCTTTTACGTAGTTATGTCTGATGCTTTTAAGGTGCTCGTAAAAAGTTGCGTGGATCCGAATCGAGCAACTCGCTAACTGAAAATTTATAACTCCGGAGTTCCATTCGCTAGTTGTTATATAGCAGATTAAAGTTGAAGCGTATTTTACGGGGTTCCCGTTCTAGATTCCAAAGGTTCACCCTTCCGCAAACAAACTTATTAAAATTTGCAATAGAAAGACAAAAAAATTAAGTGACTTATCTATCAGTTTTTATAAGTAAGCATTAGTGTTAGAATCTTTGTAAGACTTTCAATAAATACCAAAACACTTTGAGTTATGTAAGATTGTATCCAAAACGTTGCCATTATTTTGTCTATAAAACCTCTGTTGATTTGTTTGGTGCTTATAAATTTATAAATTATAAATACTGTAACTAGGTTTTATAGTAGCTACTTATGGTTTACAAAGGTAACGGCAAACTCTTAGTTACAAATAAATGTAAATATAAATATAAGATCCTCCATTTAGGTGCTATAAGAGTAACGAAAACATTTCACGAACAATTGATAGGTTTCCAGGGTTTATTAAATAGGTAATCGAAAATCCATACTACTACTAATTATTTTTTAAGAGGGTAATATACTATTAGCATTACTCAATACTCTAAACTTTTACGACATTCTTTATGCAAATAAATGTTAAAACAAGTAGCAAAAAATCACATTAAGTTGAAAATCATTTTGAATAATATAATAAATTATAAATTGGAATTTTCTTTAAAAAATTAGTAGATTATATTTCTCCATAAAAACATTATTAACAATTTGACTGGGTCAATCATGTCAAAGTTGACATACACAAGAGTATATATTATAGAACACAAATTATATATTTTGCATAAGCAGGAACCACCTTTATTATTTCAATGCTTAGGAAATGTTATGAAAAGTTAAGTTATGATGAAAAATATTGATCCCCTATATGAATATCAAAAGCGTATTATTTCACAATCGTAAAATATTTCAGACAATGTAATTATTCTTTTAGAATATCTATTCCAGTTATTTTGGCAATGCTGTATTTATCAAAAGGTATATGTGGATTATTGTCTTTATGGCGGTAACTCAGATTTCAGATTATAGAATACTCATATACGAATTTCAATGTTCGAATTTGTTAAAAAAAAGAATAGAGTAATATCTAGACTGCTTTAGCATTATCTAATAAAATCTGTTGAAGAAAAGTTAATCAAGAATAAGTGGAAGTTTCTTTGAAAAAAAATTAACAAGAAAGTTGCCTGATTAATGAATTTATCTTTTCAATATAACCTATTGGAAGGAAATACATTATTTTTCCAGTTTTGTGGGAATTTTTAATAATGCCGTCAACCTATGATCTTGGATTTATATCAAAATCCAAAACGTTGCCGTTATTTTGGCTATAAAACCTCTGTTGATTTGTTTGGTGCTTATAAATACTGTAAGCAAGTTGTAATCTGAAGCTTGTGAACTTGAATCTATAAAATTTAATATACCTTGTAATTTTTGAACCAAATTTACCATAATACCCTTAACTATTATTCTTGTTTTGGGTTTCTTTCAGTCAGGATTTAAGCTATCAGTTTTTCGAAATAAACCCTTTGTTCCCCCCTCTCCCGCTTTGTTCAGTCATCCATCTCCCGCGTGTGTCCCGGAAATGTCGCCCTGCGTTCGACCAAAATACCCTCGGAATACGTTTCAAAAAAATCGGCTTTTATTTAAACGATCATCCTCGTTGACACAGAGTCAGTTTTGAAACAAACTGCGGTGCTCTACATTGCGATATTAAATTCAAAATGGTGGAAACGTACGGGAGTCAAGTTCAGCGAATCACCACCACCGTTGGCACCAAATGTTTCTACGGTCCCGAATTAAAAGTAGAGCCGGGCACTGATTAAATCGAAACTAAACAACCAGTAGAGTTGATAACATAGATATGTATATAATTAAGGATGATAGCATCGTTTCTATTTTAACGGGATGCAAATATCTTGACGGGCTGAGATAATGTTGGCAGTAGTGGACGTCGCGGTTTTTTACCGATTTCGTTAACAATAGCGATATGGTTTATAAGACAGTATATACTGTCTTTTTATAATATGACAACTTTACAAGCAATAATGTAGGGGAGTTGTACTGTCTGTTTTTGCTTTTTTTTTTTTGGAAAAGTCTCTTTTTGACAGTGAAGACATGTTTTCAGATATTATTCTTACAAAGAATGTTAGTAAAAATTCCGGAATATTGTGATGTTTGCAATGAAGTTGACGGTTTGAATTCCGAAGTGTCATTTCCTGCGTATGTAAACAAATCGAAGACGTGTTTCATAGGCGTATTTTTTTCTTGTTTTATGTGTTTATGTTTAATATTATCTATTGTAGACTTCAAAAGAAGACCTAAATGCTGCGGATGTAGCTTGCATAAAATCTAAAAGTGTGTCAATTTTATTAAATTTAACTATAACATTTTTGATTTTTATTATTTATTAATAAAGCTAATTTTGCATGAAAGGCAAGGTGGTACAAACAGTTTTTTTATGTAGATTCCAGTGGCGTAGTTAGTTTTCTTCTAAAACTCGCAAATTCGGATATATAAGTTAGTGTGTTTTTTAATGTATCTCCCTGTTTGTCCTTTAAAAAATTTATTATTGTTGTGATTGCGCTTTTCAGAAATAAATAAATAATGCGTGGTTAACTTGTCTGCTCCGCTATTTAGTTTCCGCTTGGAAATACTTACCTTATCTCCTGCTTTTCAAATATTAAAATCTGGCAACCCTAACGACCAATGTTTGAATTTTGTTTTCGTTTCAGATCCAACTTCAGTTTGAAAAGTTCGAGTTGGAGAATCCGAACGATTGCGAAACGAATTTTGTCGAGGTATTCTCGAATGACACGATCAACTCGAGACAGAAATTCTGCGGATCCATAGCGGACACGGTGCTTTCCGACGACACACACAACGTGATGATCGTGCGATTTTTTGCCGAGAAATTGGGGAACAAGACCACGTTCGCCGCAAATTTTACCGCTTTCAGGGAACATAGCAAAGGTTAGCCACAACGGACGAAATGTCAAGAATTTAAAAAGCAGTTGTATTAGATCGATTATCTGCACATTAGGCACAGAGGCATCATCTCTTTCGGAATCATTAAAAGCTAAAGCCCCTTGACTCTACGGTTTCCCCAAAATTCACAAAACCTTCGAGCTATTGGTAACAGCATTGGTGTTCAACCTATTCTTTAACAAAATATCTATCCTCCATTTTGAAATCTTTCACAGGAACAAGTTCCAGTATTCAGCCAAATTCTTTTCGACTAATTCCAGAAAAAATGTTAAGTTGGATCCAGACGATATTCTGATAAACTTTGACGTTGAATCTCTCTTTACTAAAGTTTCAGTTCCTGAAACAGTAGCAGGCCTTGTTATTATAATCCAAAATTGTCTATCTCTACCATACTTTACATATAACGGATATAAGATCAAGGACCAGGTCAGCCTTTGGAGCTCTCCGGCACGCCGAGAGCGGTAGGGGGCGCTTGGGGCGTGGGACCGAAGATCATGCAGTGGTACCATGGTGTTGCCTATGCTTACGCATGGGGCAGTGGCATGGTGGCCAGGGACCAAAAGAGCGGGAGCAAGGCTAGTTCTTGACAAACTGCAGAGATTGGCTTGCCCCTGCATCGGGTGCAGATGGAGGCGGCTAGGACAGCTGTGAGGCTGGCGAGTTGCGGGCTCTGGAGGGAGGGAACCTTCAATCGGGGTCCGTACGACATTTTAGAGGGCTGTCGCGGGGATCACGGAGTCATGGGCATGCCGAGTGACGTCATGATCCCGAGAGGACCTTCTTTGACAAATTGATCTTTCTCTTCCCATCAAGGGAAGAGTGGAGCGAGGGCAGAGTCGGCTCCTGGGATGGACTTGTCTGGTACACAGACAGGTCCAGAATGGGAGATCTGACCGGAGCCGGACATTGCAGGCTTAGGAGGCACCTTTGCTTCCTAGGCATTGGAGACAACCCGGAGTGCAGGTGGTGCCTGGAAGGGGAGGAGACCCCGTATCATCTACTCACCGAATGCCCTGCCTTGACATGGGCAAGATTGGGAGTCTTCGGAACGTCCCTGATGGATCCGGACTCAGTGCACGGTATTGGGCTAAAGGAGTTGCTGACCTTCTATAAGAGGGGCGGCATTGTGGACGCCCTCTAGAGCGGCCTGGGGGCACAACGGGCCCATCTGGTGGCCTAAGTGCTTGGACGCCCGCGAGGGCGCCCCCCTTTTATACCAATACCAATACGTATAACGCAAAAATTTATAACCAAATGATCAAAATTTTGAGAAACTAGGCAAGTTCCATCTAAAATCCAAACTTTAAAAAAAATATGTAGATAATGGTTTTGTTTTCTGGCAACACGATCAAGGATGTGTTGAATTTTTTCTGAATTATGTAAACTCTATACCAAAATATTGAGAAAATATAATATCAAGAGCTGATCATTATTATCTATGTTCGAGCAAATCTCCTGGAAACAGTAACACAGCATACCGTGCAGCTGTGACAAAGAATAAATCGGAGCAACAGATCCGAAAATAAAAAACCAGACTAAAAGAACACCAGAAATCAATCAAACTTCGACAAATAACAATATCATTAGTTTGTGAACATCATCAAAAGAGAGGACACCTGATTTTATTCTACAGGACCAAAAAAAATTACATCTAGAACTTTCTTCTATCCAAGAAAAATTCGAGAGTCTAGGGAGATCATTTTAATCACGACGCAGGAGATACGAAGATAGACTGAATATTTTCTTCTTTTTAATTTGCCTTACCCCAATATTGAGCGTTGGGGACTTCTTGCATCTATCTGTGTTGTGCGAGTTTCAGACTGGACAAATAGAAAGGATTCACAGTTTAACGCCGGTCCGAACGGCTTTACTAGGCAGAATACTCTCGGTGGTTTGCCATTGGGTTCCGAAAGGTGATTGCTGAACTGTTTTTGGGCTTGAACCGTCGACTTCTCGTATATTAAACCCAAAGCACTAGCTACTAGGCTACGGTGGCCACTCAAAAATATTATAATATTTGTTTAAGAGTCCCTGTCTGAAAGACTCTGTTTGAAGGTTCCTGTTATGATAAGGTTATGTTTGGCAGAGTGAAATTTGTCGTGGTTTTAATTGGCGGTCTCTGCTATACAAATTGATTTGATTAAAATTCTGTTCATTTACTCTGCTTAAAGCTTTTAATATCAAAAAAACAGTAAGAAGATTCTTTGCATTTGTTCCAACTCAATATAGTAACCCAATTATTGTTAATGAACTAAAATGACCTCTGTGATATTCTGCACTTGTACCATTTAATAGACAGGATAGAAGATTTAGCATTAAACAAAATCAAAGCTGTTATTTTTAGTCTCTTTAAAATATTACTGAGATATACAATTTTACTGAAATATACAATTATTGTGTCGTATTTTTCATGTAACAGTGTGTTTGCGTCTCAAGCAGAGATATCAACTGTAAAAAGTCAATTTGGGCGACAAGGCTCAGTTTTAGGACCATTGCCGTTCGTGATATATATCGACGACCTTAATATTTCCATTTATTCATTGTTGTATGAGACATGTTGAGCTCAATCATAATGTATTAGTCTTTGTGGCAAAAAGCAAAAAAAAAATTGAAAACATTGTCAAATATGTCGGGTCAGCTGGCAGTCTGAGTGATTTATAGCATCTAGCAAAAATCGTTTACTTGTTTACGATCAAAGTGATCTGACTGTTTCCTCCTGAAACACTGACCATGTTACACAAAATACGCAGCGATATCCGCAGCCGATCGCCAATTTCCGTTGTGCCATCCACGACCGATAGTTCGATCCTGAGGGTTTTGATCCCGTTCGGGTTCCAACCTCGTGGTTGGTGGCGCTATAGGTAAATATATATATCAAACTTTAAGTGGTCTGAAATGCAGTCGGCTATATTTTATACTTCCAAACGGTGAGAGCCTTTTATATAACCACCCGCCGGCCCGCGTTTGAAACTTCCCCCACGGGGATTAAAGATGCACTTTCCTAGAGACGTCGATTATTGGGCGATATATTATTTACTTCGAGTACGGATTATAGGGTTATGCGGGTGGAGAATTGATTTATTTGCCTACCTAGATGCAAGTTAACCCGGTTTAAAGCGGTAATGGGAAATTGTTATGGGCAATTAGACTTTTCGAATTGTAAGCAACCCAAATTGTGATGTGTTATCGTTGCCGGTAACGCTAGTTATTTTTCTTTTGCAATTTTGGGATATGAAGTCCAGTGTGTCTCAAAGTAAAGGCAAGGGCGAATCAGATAGATGTTTTGCTGTTTTTTTCTTATGTATCGTCGAAATCACTTGTCATTAGATGCAAAGAAATTGTGCAAAACCTGTCCGAATGTTTAATGGGTAAAGGATTCATTATACAGTTGAGAAATTTATAAAAACCGTATTGTTCTTGTTCTGACAAAAACAAGTGGTACTGGAATTGGATCGATTGCGCACCTGGCGATTTGATCATATTCAGAAAATTGAAAAGTATAGATAAACGAAAATAGATGTAAATTTTATCTAGATGAAACTTGGTTCGATACACACGATACAGTAGCCACAGGATGGGTTGATTTCAGTAAAAACTTATTTTAAATTCAGTTACAAATATATATGTATGTATATGCATGTGACAGTTTAGCTGAACAGATGGGGCATACATCTTGCTCCATATCATTGGCTATTCAACTCCATAGAACATTTGCGGTAGCAAGTAAAATCAAATGTGACAGCAGAAAATATTACTCCCACATTCAGTCCGGGTGTAATAAATTTAACTAAAAACGTAATTAATAGTATACCTGTTGAGAGATGGAAAAATAGAGAACTGCATATTGTATATATATTGAGAGTGAAAATGAATTAGATTTTGCATAAAAAGTACTTATTTAGTTGGAAATTTGTATATATTTAGTATCATATTATTTTGTAGTAGTACTAGTCATTTATTATATTCTGACCTGTCCGATAATTACCGTCAAAAGTCAAGACGATGTATAATTAACGTAAATTATAACGTTGTTCACAATCTGTCAATAGCATCAAAGTAACCAGCCCATCATCAGTTGCGAACTTGAATCAGGTCCTGAAGTTACTGTAGAATCATCGGAGATAGAGCAAGCTACTGAAATGATAATTAAAAGTATACACGCGTTCCGTACCATATAGTCATTCTGCAAAATGCGAGAAAAAGAGGGAGCTAAAACCTTATAAGAGACTAGTAGGCTGTAGTTCGAGTTATTGCTAAATTAATGAAATTTGTTAAAATGTAAATTTGAACTCCTTAAAACTTTAACATTAATGCTATTTTGATTACATAGATCTACTCCCCATATTGTTTCTCTCTTTATATCAGTTATATTTTTTTATCTGTCACCTTAACAAGGGTGTAAAGCCTCTTTATTTATCTCGACCCGACTGATGGGGACGTCTAGTCAATAAAATAATAAGCAAAGAGCTTAAAAACAGATAGAACTGATTATCTGATCAAGTAGACAAAAATCAAGAATCGAAATTTAAGTGTGTCCGGAAAAATGGCTAGCTGCTCTCAGCTGAGTAATAGACAAACTTACCCTACGCTGTTTAAATCCATCCTCTTCAGTAAAAATAAAAGACTAAATAGATATTACCAGATTTGATTTTCTCTAATTTTAAATCCTCTATCCTATCTATTAAATAGTACAAGTACATAATGCAAGGATCGTTTTATTTCAATAATAATAATTGCGACAAACATGCTGATTTTCATCTTCGATTCAAATGACGTTAATGTATTTTTGGTTAGCTTTGGTCACCATAAAAGCAAAAGCAAATTCAAAGAATTTATTTACTGTGTTATTCACACTAGTTTGAGAGGTTCACTAAAAGCTTGAAGTTTAAGCTTCACTTCTTCACGGTGCGGTTTGATACTGGGGAATTATTGCTCTGCATGCACCTTAAGCGAAGTATTTATAATTTTTATTTAATATAGAGACAAAATCTGATTCTAAAATACATTCGTGCTGTTCCCGCTATCTCTACAAAAACCCAGCCCCGCCGCCACCCCAGCCAAAGAGTTAGCCTGCATGTACAGGGTGTCAGCATTAGGCCCCATAGTCATTCGTAGGACGTAACTTCCTCAGGATATGATATCGTCGTTGTAACCGAATCCTGGCTTCAACTGGATTTTCGAGACTGTGAACTCTTTCCGGATTCTTATCTGCTCTACAGCTCCGCCCGAAGACAAAACTTAACCAGCACTTCTTAATTGCGACATCGACAACAGTGCTCCAAGCATAGATTTCTTACTCTATACGATCTCTTTAGATTATTTTGAGTTTTATGTATTTATACATTACATTCCTCTCACCGCTGCCAGGTTCGAAGTTCAGAACTTTTTTGATCCTTGCTGTCGCTGGACTTGATATTTGGCGGATCTGTCTTGTTGTTAGGTGAGTTTAATATTCCTCATTGCCTCAGCTCCTGTTCATGTCAGACATAGACCCCTAATCAACCTCAGCGCCATTTTGAATCTTAAACATCATAACTCTGCAAATAACCGTTGCTTAGACCTCGTTTATGTCAATTTCGACGTTGAGGTAGTGAGAAACTCAGTCCCACTTATGAACGAGAGCCGGTCCTCCACATATATATATATATATATATATATATATATATATATATATATATATATATATATATATATATATATATATATATATATATATATATATATATATATATATATATATATATATATATATATATATAAGCTAATGCAGCAGTCAGACTGGTATAGTGCTATTGGATGTCGACAGGGCGATTGCCATCATGGTTCACCAAAGAAATGATCGTAAATATATTTGAGAAGAAGAAGAAGTTTGCGCAATTTTAAGCAACACAAATCTTTTGTTCTTTATTCATCGTGGTGATTTAAGGATACATCATAGTGCTACAAATTTCTGGTCATTTATTCAGAGTAAGAAATCAGATTGGCAGATTCCAGCCAGAGTGTCCTATTCTAATCAACCATGCCATGGACCTAGTATGGATGTCACAGCTTTCGCAAACTACCTTTGCTAGCGTTTACACGATATCCCAGTCATGTTCATCTTCAAGCGTGTCCTTTAATTCCGATCTAGTCAACATACCTAAAGTTACCATCCAGAATGTCTTATTCGTAAGCACTCAAAAACAAAATGACTACCGGTCCTGACGGCATACCATGTTTTATAGTGAGAGACTGTTCCTAGGCACTGTTTCTTTATGCCACATTTTTGACCTGGTACTTGAAATGGTTGTTTATCCAGAAGCTTGGCCAAAGTTTATCCTATTCTGAAAAAAGGTGATCCTTCCCAAGTTGAAAATTATCTTCCTATTTCGATCTTATGCAGTTTTTCGAAAATATTGGAGATTGTATTACATAAATTTATCTTTGCTCTCTTTCGAAATAAACTCTGTAAGCAACAACATGGTTTTCGATTCTCCGATACGCTAAGTTTAATGTTGAGACCCTATCTGGTGCACCGTCGTAAGTTCATTGAGATTGAGGGCTTTAGGTCAGTGCCTTTTGTTCCAAGTTCTGGTGGATCTCAGGGTTCTAACCTTAAACCACTCCTATTCTATATATTTGATCATCTTCGCGCCTGCTTTGCGGATCTCGGGATTTTATTTTACCAGACGTTCTCTTTTGCACCTCAAATTACTAATATTAGGATTCCTAATTCATCACTCATTTATGTGGTTCAGCTACCATTATTATTTTACTGTTACGTTAGGTACAAGCTTGACTGCCACGCTCAGTGCATTGAGAGTTAGCAGACAAGGTTACGAAATATCTAATGTTCAAGAAGGAGGGTTCCTATCCTGAGAGGGGAGTTGATCTTGATCGTCTACTGAGAAGATTCGCTGAACTGTCTCTGAGCTTACGCAGAGACTTGCAATCTATATCAATTCTCTACAAGTTAGATTAGTACGGAATTGATGGCCCGTTTCTTCTGGAACAATTACGTTTTCATGTGCCGCGGGTGGAAGGGAGACGTCAATCAACTTTCTTACCGCAGTTTAAGAAATTATCATCGAACTGTGATTTATATTATGATGGTTTCCAGGCGATACTTAGACAATTGCGTTTGGCGTCGGTGTATGCGTAATTAAAAGCTTTATCCTTTTCTTTTTCCTGTTTTTTTTAGTTATAGAATTAGTAGATTTAAGATTAGTTTTTACATCTTATGATTTATATTAAATATTTCCTGTGATTGGGTCATGTTACCTGTTGGAAATAAAAAGTGCGATTAATATGAGCAAAACATGAATATTGAATTTACTTTTAAAAAATGTTTATCGAGTTTGCTATTTAGACCGTACAACCATCGTAGATGTCCAAGATATGTCGTGCTATTCTAAAAAGTAGAAAATGTTGGAGGACAAAGTCTACCTTCAAAAACTTTAGGATTTACAAAAATCCTTTTTTTAGTTATGTTCGATACCAGGAAACAAAATTTCGATCACTATTGACCCGATCAGAAAATTTTTGATGCAGGTGACGCGCGACGCCAAGCTATTTTATTTTTTCCATTTATATAAAATAATTTGAAATCGATATCACTAGTAAAAATTTTTCGAAGTTTGACATGGCTTTGAAGTTAGGTTGAATGCGTCTTTGAAAGGCACTTTATATAGGGTGTCCACAAAAAAACGATTGATTTTGCAAAGGTGCCGCAGGAGCACGAAAGAAAAAAGCCGCACCATATCCTCTTTTTAGTGAAAGTAGTTTAGTTGCTACAATTGACAATTAATTCCGCTTAGCCCTACCATGATAAAGTTGATTAGAGGATAAACCTACCAAACGTACGCAAATTCGTAACGTAATTATAACATAAACCTGCGTGTAACTTTAGGATTGCGTTACGCCACTGAACCATCATCCTCTACAACAAAAATTTGCTCTTTCTCGTATCCAAAAATAAATCTAAAATTTGAAACTTAATTAAAGCGTGGGGAGCGAAGTCCTTATTAATATCAAATATTCTATAAAAAATATTGCTTTTCTCGGTCCTTATAATTTGAAATATAAAAGTCGCGATCGTTAATTTTTGGCGGACTTCGTCTTCCACAAATGTTTTCGCAAGTATTAATTTAAAAAAAAAACTTTTTGTAAAAAGTTCCATATGTTCCTTAAATTCAAACTACGGTCATCAGATATCATTTTTTCCAGTAGTATACGAGATTTGTCAAAAAATAAATTTGACAAAATTGAAAATTGTTATTAAATAAAGTTGATCAGAAGCAAAAACTACATTAAATAGAAAAAATTTATTACTTTTTAAACTGTTTCTAGGTACAATAACAATACATATACTCTATAATTCACTAACAAACTAATGAATGTTGAAATTGTCGGCTTATGAGCTTTCTAGCATCACTTTTCTACTTGATATATTAAAATTGTTACCTTGGTCTATTTCTTTCAAGGCTATCTTAAGCGCTCTGCAGATAATTGTTGAATTTTTTTTCTTTCAACACAGAATTATGCCTCTGCCATGCATCTGCTTGTTTTATTGATAAATAAAATCTCCAAGTGAAAAGAGAATGTTTTATATTTTAAAGATTTTAATAGTCTCCGGGACACAACTTAAAAAAAATGGACCAAATGTTTCTACAGTGTGAAAAATTATTTAAGATGCGATTTTAAGCTGCCAGTCTTTTTTTACATTTTATTCTATTGCAATTTTCAATTTTTATTACACAAACGCAGTGAAATAAAATTCTGTTCTATTGCATAGAAAATGAACGATCCGCTTGCCTATCGAAATGGGAGGCGTTCCATATTTAACCCATACTTGTTCTTTTCAGTGTCGTGCTCCGAATAACAATGGCGTCTTTTTTTATTTCAGAAAAATCTAAAAAGAATTGTGAAGATGACGAATTTGACTGTGAGGACGCCACGTGCATATCGGCTACTCTAAAATGCAACGGCCTGTACAACTGTAGATTTAGGTGGGACGAAGACGATTGTCATGTAAGATTGGCTACCGTTTCGCCAGTTTTTATGCTTATTCTTTTGTTTTCAGACGACCGAGTCTTGGACTCTGAGCGACGACCATATCGTCATAATCATGGTGATTTTTAGTTTAATTTTGACCGGAATGTTTTTCACGTTTATCTATAACTGCGTCAAGAAGCTTCTAAGGGACCACGAAACAATTCAAGTAAGCGAAACATATTTCCAATAGCCTTTAGATAAATACAGTCGCGCGTCGAGTAGGTAAAACTAAGTTTCGGTTTGTAGTAAAACGCGTTATTGTGTGTTAGTGCAGTGCCGAAGGTTCCAGTCAAGAGTTTGACTAATTTGAACGTTGCTACTAAAGGTTCATCGTATTGAACTGGAGTTGCTTTTACTTGATAAAAATCCAGTTAACACAATTTAATTTAGAATAAGAAATGTTCAGGCAATGTTCGGCAACACCGTACGTTTATCAAATACGTAATATGACATCTAAAAAGGTGGTAATAGATTTTTAAGTATCCGTGTAGGGTTATAAATTTAACAACGGAGACGCATCTAAATCCAATTAGCCATTAAGTAAAAGATTCGAATATTTCACTTTCTTAGCTTCCAACAAATTTAGTTTTTTGCTTTTTAATTCATTATGTGTAATATCAAAATTATCGTCAAACTTGTGCATTTCTGAATTTAAATGAGTTGATTAGTTAGAATCCGAACTTTTATTTTTATACGCTCTTTTATGTTCCTTAATGCGTTCTACCTGTTTGTCCGATATATTTTGGAACTTGATCCACCTTTCAACTTGTAGACTCCATTTTTTGAGTTTTTTTTTTAAATTCCAATGGTTTTTTCAGTTTTAAAAGCAATCTTAAGACCCAATTTTTTTGAGTTCGGTGTTTAATACAGGATAGACAGAGTTCAGAGTTATTTGACACTGTTTATTATTATATTTATAATCTTATCGATCAACCATTGCTAAAAGCTATTAAATATTATGTAATTCTTTTTTAACATTTTATGTGGAAGGTGGTATATTAAGTAGTCTCTGGATAAAAGAATAGAAGGCAGCCATGTTGTGTGTGAAGGTGATTTGAGTTATCAAATCAAATCAAAAATTTAGTTCCAAGCGAAACCCCTCGCGTATTTAAAGTAATTTTCAAGCTCAACCCCACTCATTGTTAAAGCCTCGCAATGTTTCCTAATAACAACAAATACCGCCGAGCCGTCCATTGTTTTGCGTCAGCGCAACACCCTCTATTGCAGCCAATAAAGATTTAGATATTACAATTCTTGTCGGCGACGATTCCTAGAGAATTAATTTCCACTGGAATAAATTATTCATACGACGCAACACAGGGATGAATCGGCAACAGAAAATGTGATTTACTTACCATAGCATCGAGGGGATGTATGAAAATGAGAGTTTTGCGACTGGATAAAAATATCAGGCGGGTCTCTGCCCTTTCCGTTTCAATCGTCTGTGAAAACTTATTGAATGATTCATTTGCCCCACACGAAGCGAAACGCGAAAAAGTGCATAATTTTGCATTTGTAAATTTCACTTTGACACTTTTATTGAAATACATAATAGGCCATAACGGGAGATGTTTTAAATCCAAATAACATTGGTGCAATACATTTTTTTATAGTGCGTTCTTAAAAACCTTATTATAACAATTTAATCTTGGTTTTTATAAGTTACTACTTATACCTTGGGAAAGGCCGTGAAAGACAGGACTGTTTTCTGAACTTATGCCTTTTTCACAATTTTGGAAAGCATATTAGGTTTAATTCTAAACTAAATCAAAACAAAAATTAAGCACACTTATTTCAATAACAAATAAATAAACAAAATTGACAAAATTGACATTTGATATCTTTACTCTAATGGTTTTCAATTGGTTTTCCAGTCACTTTTAGTTTTATAGAAATTACGGTACTTTATAAAACTATAATTATTCCAAAACGACCTTAGGTTTTATTGCAAGAGCAATAGTTGCTATGAGACTCCCAGATAAGTTTTATAAAAGTTCCGAAGATGTTCAGTATTACTTATATAAAAATATAGGTTTTTAAAAATCGGTCCTCGTGGACATGACGCACGGTGGGCCAGGATGACCCAAAAAGTCTTTTCGTTTTTTTAAGATATTTTCCGCAGCATTAAACAAACAAACTTTGGACTATCTAAAAACAATTAAATCGTGGGTTACACATCTCCATGGTAACCGGGAACAGCTTCTGAATATGTGCAATCGTGTTACGCCTCCGCTTTCTTGTAGAAATATTTAAGAAACTATCCAAGTTCTTTTGTGGCCACGATAAGTAAATACCTTTTTTCAATGGATGAACTTAATAGAGGTAAGTTTAAGCTACTTATATCAAAAAGGACATATTAATTTTGTTTTTGAATTGCAAGTCACTGTTATTTAATTGAATCTGTGTTTCTCTTCTATTACCTAAAGTAAATTCTTTGATTTTGCTTAGAGATATCTCAAGAATCGAGCAAAACGTTATCACAGTTTTTTTTTATTTGAATGCTCATTGTCATTCCTAAAAATAAAATTCTGCCCATCTCCATTTTATAAAAATATATTAAGGTACCTATATAATTAATATTACCACATTGCCAAAATTAATAAAAATGTTATGTTTAACAAAAATGTATTTGGGCCTTGTTCCTCAAGCGAAATTTGAAAATATAATTACGAACCTAATAGAAAATATTTTGATGAGACCGATAAATCAGGAATACCTGGTATATGTATGGCATTTCCTCATTTCATGCGTAGATTCGGTTTTAGTATTAGACATGATAATTTTAAAATATATTTGACAGAAACTGCTCGATTATTTGTTTCCCTGCATCCTTGGTACAAAATGCCTGTAACTATCCATAAAATCTTGATGTACGGAAAAGAGATCGTGAAGTCCAGTCCAGTGCCAATCGGGAAACTTTCCAAAGAGGCCCAAGAGGCCCGCAATAAAGAACACCGAAGATACAGGGAAGCTTTAAATAAAAACAGATTTAGTCCTGAAGCTTTAAATTTGCTAGAGCCTTTCAAAGAAAATATTAAAATTCTGAGAGAATCAGACCCTGATTAAGCGTCGATTTAAAATTAAACTTGTTATATTATTATTGTAATTATTATTATTATTATTATTATTAAATTTAAGGTGATACTGTTAAGTTTTATTTTTAAATATTTTCTATTTTTTTTTTCAAATCGGTTCCTACAAAAACTACCGATTTGACACTATCTCAGAATAAAGAACACAAGGTGATGTTTTTCTACATTATTTACTCATCCAAAGGCAGATACTCTAATTTCTGGTGCAAATATTTATCACAGAATGAATTTTTCTTCTATTTTCTAAATAAATGCCTCATAAACACAATTAAGGTATTTCACCATTTCACGAATTTCATAAAAAATCCTCATATCACAGGCACTTTAATTTTACAAATTTTATGTCATATAATACTTTCAGTATCACATGATTTACGACAAAAAAAAGCCTTTAAATAATTTTTCAAACTTTCTGTGTCATCCTGGCCACAAAAAGCAATAATATCAAGTTTTAATCATGTTGATTACACACTTCTTCAAAATTGTGCTATTAATTTTTTTTTTAGTTTTATCAGGAAAAAAAATGACCAGGCGCTTTTAACTATGAGATTTTTGCAAAAATTATCTTTTAAAATCAAAAATACTCTCACAAAGCAACACAAAATATCACGAGACACACGCAAAATAATAACTGTATTATCCCAAATGCAAGACTATCTAAATACCAAAAATATCTTTTTATAGAGCAACAGTGGCTAATAGATAATAAAATATGTTGGTTTCGTGCTTATATATAGTCCATAATATAGGATACATCAATTTTTGCCACGAATTGTATTGTATTGTTTTGTAATCTGTTAGATTTGCGAACATTGCAAAAATATTTTAAGCACCATGTTAAGTGCACACACAAAATGTGTGTGTCCATAGTGCACGATATTATTGTTGTGGAATGTTGTTGGAAATGAATTATTTCTCTTTTATTTGAAATGAGAGCGCTTTAGTTTTACGAAGGGTAAAACATAAAATTACAAGAAAAGCCGTTTTTTTTATGTTTATAAACACTGTAGGTATGTTTTGTAGCTATCCACATTCCCACTTTTGAAACACCTTAGTATAATTTGGATGATTATCGTACAAAATAGCAAACTAATATTTATTTTAACTTAACAATTTGCTCATTCAGTTCATTATACTTCGAATATTGCTTGCTTGCTTGTTTTAGGGCATATCAATAAAGGTTGCGCCTTGCTGCTTTAGTGACTTAAGGCTGTTTTCTCTGTATTTATATCAAAATTTGTGAGTTTCAGAAAAGAACTGACTATGCACATAAAAACCCCTATATGGATTAGTTTTTATCTTTTTAATAAGTTTACTCATAACGGAGCTACAAAAAACAATACTTTATCTAAATATCTAAGATACCTAGCTGTTTGTACCACTTTTCATTTTATAAAAAAGTATATGTGTGTATGTAATATGTTTGAATCGCAAAAGCCGAAACACGCTGACTTTATTACTAAGGGAGAGAGGCTTTAAACCATCAAAAGTAGGAAACACTGTACACATTATTCTTCAAAAAAATAAATCCGATGAGTAATAGGCAAATATTATTTTAATTTCAAATTTTACATGTAATTGTAGTATTTTCCGTTTTTTTATATTCGCGTAGTTATTAGTCGATTTTTTGTATTCGATGCTTTTTAAATTAAAGAAAACAAAATTTGTATAAGATTTCTTTATGTTACCGAGCATTTTCATATTTTTTTTGTTATATTTGCTGCATAACTGTTTACTAAGTCGTATCACATAAGTCGTATGTTATGTTATAACGCTTTCCCAAAATTATCGGGGATTAGGGGACACGACGTAAATTGGCATATGCGTCCGCATGACTGCTCGAGCATAGGTGGTCGAGAAGCTTATAATGATGAGACTGAGGGCGATGATTTACTTTGAACTAAATATTGCTCAGGTTAACGGGAATTGCCACGTTTAGCACTAGCCTCTTTAACCTAATTAATTCGCTGCATTCGCACATAATCCGATAAAGCCATAGAGGCAATTACAGCCTCAAAGCTTCCCTATATACATTATTATTTTTGCGCATTTTTGTTTTTAAACTTTGCATAAT